CACAACTAAAACTATATCATTTCTATGAGTGATTCTGAAAATGGTGACTCTAATATTTTGTATCAATAAAAAAGACTGATGTCAATATGTGTCGCTTATAAAAAACGAAGCTAATCTTTACATCAGTTTGTATAAATGATATTAAATATTTGTGACACTTATAACAATTGATGTTAAATATTTATAACAATTTTTATAATTGATATTATGTTTGGATCGATTGTGATTAGTTGATACTAAAGTTTTAGTTTTCATATGTGACTTTGATAAATTAAAATATTATTAATTTTAAATGATAATAATTTTAAATAAAAGTTTTAATTTGACTCAAATGCATTTAGGCCAATTCTAAAATGATGAGTTTATTTTATAGAGAAATAATTTTCTTCTTTTATGTTTGGTTTCCGATGTGGGACAAACAAAATTTGTAAAAATAAAACTATATATATTAATTATTTAATTGGATATTTGTTAGCATCTTTTTTTAATGATACAAAATTTGCATTGTTTTATTTAAGTGATGCTACAAATAAGTAATATACATATCACTTAAATAAATGATATAATTTCTTATTTTGTGTCGAGTTTTATTTTAAGTGATACAATTTAAGATAAATTTGTATCGCTTTTATTTAATTGATACCATATACACAAACAATGACATCGATTATATCTCTTATATTAATTGATGCTAAACTACAAAATTTGTATCACTTGTACATAAACAATTCTAAATAGTATCATTTAGTATTCTGATAAATTTTAACTGATGCTATCTACACTTTTTTTTGTAGTTTCTTATTAATTACAGATGATCATGTGGAATCTTGATTTACATAAAGTATCCTGTAAGTTTATGATTCTGATTTTGCCCCAAAAAAAAAGTTTATGGTTCTGCATGTTTAATGAATAAAATCAACAAAGCAAATTTAGTTTATTTTATACTTTACGAAATGAAATGCTGATATTTATTTTCGTGACCAACAAAACAAAAAAATGCTGATATTCATTTCTCAGTCTATATAACAAAACAAAAGGGTTCATTTTGTTGTCATTCTTTTATTTTCTATGGTGAAATGTAGTAGATGCATACTTTGAAAATAGTATCTCCAAATATAATAAACCATAAGAAATATTAACAACTATAGGCATCCCTGCCTTGTCTAACCCAACAAAGTAAAAGTCGTATACAGAATTTAAAATGATGCGAATAAGTTGACAATTTGGGACTATTTATAAACTCATTACAAAAATATATAAACCAAGTACGAAGTAGGCTATTGCCAATTAATTTAAAGAGAAACCGGCATTTTAGAATTGGTCTTCAGCATGGTGCCGTGGTTCGTGGACTTGTTTTTTATGTTTGACAAGCCGAACCATCTACGTGCTTACATATACAATTTTTCTTTATTTGTTATAATACGTATATAAATATCATATGTTGTCAACCGTAAACGTAGGCACGTA